GGGAAATGGGGCTCTGTGACAAAAGGGAAGAGATATCAGGCCCAGATATTTTTTTTCACTTTTTTTCCCCTTCACTGTAAGAAACCTTGGAAGATACTAAATCATTATTATAGAATTCTAGAAATGTTCAATTCTTTTCTCAGAGCAGAAGAAAGGCGGGGGGAGGAGAGAGAGGGAGATCGAAGATGGAGTGAGATAGTGTGATAATACATGTCACGTATGGTCATTTTATAGACGCGTCGCGCGTTTTACTATTGGAAGGTGGGGCACATCGGGTGGTATTATTGGTATCAATTCATATCTGAGTACCAAAGGGGGTCCCCCTCCCTTGCTCACATTTTCTAGCGTCGATCTGATCCACCGAGGATGAACGGAGTATGTTAGGTCTACATTATTGCCTTCTACTATTGAGCATGTACGGAGTATTATAGTCATATATGGCAGTATATTGGAAGTATACATATATCTATCTTTAGGTCTTGGCTTACAATACGGACATGTCTGCAGAATATATCATACAATATACTCCTGCAAGTATGACACGACTCAACCCATCTAGACCAAGACACCAAATACCAACTATTCTTAAATCCCAGCATTGGCACCCCAATTGGCCCGGTCATCCCGGTATGTGGACGTGTCGATGTAACTCTGAAACGGTTACTGCTTTTCACCCCTTGTTTCTTTGCTGTCATGGATGATCTCCAAAACCCTTGACTAGTGGCCAATTGCTCTCGGGTGCATCGAGGGCCAATCGATTTTCCAGACCTACATCGTACAACGCATGTGCTGCACAGTTGTCTGCAGGTTCCGGAACCTAATACTCAGAACTCACAGAGTATGGAGTAAGAGCATAGAGCAATGAATTGGAATCAGGACGGGGGGGGGGGATTCTATAGTTCGAATCTAGGGGAGATCCCTAGTGTCTTTTCCTCTGTATGCCCTTGCTTGCACATCAGAGACCCCATGGAACAGATTCATGCACTTGCTCCGTACCTAGGTCATTGGATGTCCCATATCCCTCTCTATCGAGGCTTTTATTCCTTGTCGTTTTCATCAGAGCACTCAAAATAGCAGTATTTAAATATTTCTTTGCCAATGCCAAGATGTTAACACTCGTCCATTCTCGTCATTAGAGAATTCAGCAACGCAATCACCATCACTTTTAACCAAATAGGCCTTACACACTCCATTACAAATACCCAGGAGTCACTATCAGGGGAGAAGAGGGGGAAGAGTGAGAAGAGGGTGTGGCAAGGAAAGGAGATTTGAGCTGAGAAGAATATGACAAACCAGTGCCACAAGGATTCGCAGGTGATCCTTTCACCACAATCTTTGAAATACGGAGATATTTGTATCTCCGGATAATTTTGCTTATTCCATGCATACAACATAGATAGTAGGTATTATCAGTGTACTCCGTCCTCCGTACAGTACACCCGGAAGATACGGAGTATACTCGGTTTTATCCAGGGAGCACAAAAAGAGCTAGGGATGAGCACTTCAAAAGGGACTACAACATAAAAAGTGGAAGAAGAATCTGATATATATGAAACAGTTGTAATTAATATCCCAGAACACCTAGAGGAATCATCCTTCATGAAACAAACGCTTCATGACTTCTATTCTAAATTGAGAAGGAAAAAAAAATGAAGGAGACAACGCCAAGCCCATGCATCACAAAAAAAGAAAGCCGAAAGCCCATGCTTGGTTTTCCCAACAAAACTCGTAGCCCCCTGTCTTTCAGGAGCTTCGACTTCCGATGGATGCACAACTTTTTTCTATCAAAAACCCAATGGATATCTTAAACAACAATGACTTTTTGCTCAATGCAAATGTGGGACGTTTAGTCCAAGAAGGTGAACATGCTCGTATGGATGATATTCAGGGCACGGTCGGCGTCTCGTTCTTCAATGACGCAGGAGATATTGATTTCACTTGCACCTGTGAGGGGGAAAGAAAGATCCAGTTAGCCCCAGTTAAGGATACGAAGGTAGGGGGGTGGGGGAGTGGGGATCAGCAATTATTTACTCACCTTGCGAGATCATCTCGATATTCACGCTGTTCTCCCCGAGAGTAGTGAACATACGCCCTGCGACCCCAATCATATTCTTCATCTGCTTGCCCACCAGACTGAGAATGGCCATCTCAGGGATGATATCCACAGTTCCGTACTTCCCCAAGTCATTCAATGCCCCCTGGAGATCATCGTCAATGACCTGATACTCATCGCGTCCGTTTCCATTCAAAAGGGGCATCTCGGAGTGAAGGGCTAAGGAGACGTGGACCTCACTGGTCGAGATCAAATCGATGGATAGGCGCCACTTGTCCAACACGGAGAAAATGCCGGCAAAGAAACCATGGGAGAGCGACCGCTTGTTGGAATGCACGTTGATCACCAGGATATTATGCTTGATGGTAACTGCGGTCGGGCGTTTCGGTGTATTCGCAAGACTGGGACTCCGAGTCCGGAATAGGCCTGGGTCATGTCCTGGTGTGGTTCTCTCCAGTTCGGCCACAGAGTCAGGGAAAATAATAGTGCCTTCGTTCTTTGGGTTCATGACATTCTTAATGCGAATAGGGATCCTTGCGCGAATGACTTGCTCCATGGTGAACGGGTGAATGACTTCGGATCCATAGAAGGTCAATTCAGCGGCTTCGGCGGGGGTAATGGCCGGGAGTAGATGAGCCGTTGGTACTTTACGCGGGTCCGCGGTAAAGATACCATCCACCTCCTTCCACACCTGCAGCTCCTCTGCGCGGGTTCCGACTGCGACAAGGGCGGCACAGAGATCGGTATATCCACGACCGATCTGATCGAGCAGACCACCGGGGATGGTACCAAAGTACCCAGTCATCACAGGTACTCGGTGTCCGCAGGCCTCGACTTTGCTGCCGAAAGCTGCCGCCAGGGCATTATAAAAGTCCTGGTCCAACCCTTGGGGACCGATGGGGAAATCAATGATTTCAGAAAGATCCACATACTGCGAATCAACCCCGCGGTCTTGTAGTAGAGCGGCCATGAGCAGACAGCTCAGCTTCTCACCGGCGCTCATCACCTTATCCACACAGCGAGCACTAATCTCTCCTAGGGTCTGAGCGGCCTCAAGGAACCTGAGTACTCGTTCGCATTCTCCAGTGATGTCCGCAATCACTTGATCTCTTATTTCGGCCGACTGCAATTCTTCCTGGGCGACTTGAACATGTTCTAAACGAACAGCCTCCACCAACGTCAGATATTGCTGCGAACGAGGATGTTCAGCGTCCCGCGCTGCCCGTAATAGTCTGTTCCGAAGAAATTGGTATTAGATCCTCAATCGTGATATAGTTGAAGAGTATCCCGATGACTCACCGGTTGGTTGTGCCTTCGGCTTTTGTAGAGCTGCTTCTCGCGGAGCATACGACGGCAACTCTGTTTTTCACGAGGCTGGGTCTGCAAAGTTGTCAGTCTCCATCAAGTCAATATCGAGAAAATGCGTCATACTGAACCACCTGCTCAATGATATTGCGCGCGAACTTGCCCACACTAGTGCCGCCGAATTTCTGCACGACCCAATTGCTATGGGCCTGCGCGGTCACTGGCAAATTTGAATCGGAAATGGTGGTAGCCATAATGTCAAGCCAAAAAAAAGTAAAGACAGTGTACAATGTGATGCAAGGGAGTCAGAAGTGGTTTTGGAGGGGGGACCGGCGAAAGCGGAGACCATTGGGGCCAATTCGGGCTGCATATTTTTTTTTGTGACTCAATTGGCAATAGAGTTATGGAAGTGGAGACCGCCTGCCTGTTCCGGCCAGGAACCAACGATGTCGGAGGCCCCACCAATCACGCCATTTTCATATGAAATGCCCCTCATTGCCTGATTCGGCGTTATCGGGGTGAATGTTATTCCGGACTATATAATCTGGAGTATTCCACATTCTTGACTACAACATACATCATAGGAATGAAATTGGTGCAAACGACAACTCGAAAAAAGCAAATGCACATTTTCAGCCTTGAGCTATAACAACATAGGGTCAATTTGTGCACCCCAGATTTAACAAAAATAAAATTCTCAAGTATAATTCAAGTAATTATGGGCTTTTCTGGGTGTCTCGAAGGGAGTTTAGATCTTTCTACCTTTGGGTAAACCACGCTATTCTGAGCCGATCCCTATCCGCTTTAAATGGTGGGGACTAAACTAGATGATTGACGTCTACATAGGTGTTAATTTGTAGGATACCCTACTCAGTGTAGATGCACAATATACGCAGTAAGCAAGTAGGCAGTGTCTCTTGGCAAGTATATACGATAGTCTTGAGAATAGTTGCAAGTTCTAGACTACGTTATATCTCTCAGCTGAGGTTTCTAGGATCCAGCGTAATTGTCAGGATACACTTGCGAAACATCAACAGCGTGGAAGTAAAGATGAAACTTTGAAACGGGGATTGGTCTAGGAAATGGAGAAACTGTAGCGAGGAATCCTCTAATATAATTGAAACAATACCTTTAAACCCAAGACCTAGAGAACTAGTCAGATATATTGGTTTCCATTCTCACATTGGATGGAAGACGTTATAGTAGTTTGAAGTTTTTATTATCCTACACATGTTCTTCAAGACTTTATCAACCATTCGAGGAACCTTCTGATTTGCTATGCTGCATGCATTTCCTTCCTCTCTGTTCATGACAGAGCCCCCAACACCGTCGAGAGATGGACTACGACCGCAACATAAACGCCTACGTTGTTTCGGCCCCCACGAAGTATATCGTACTTGGTCCTTCTACCCGCTGATCTTAGGCTGAAAATAGTGACAGCACAGCCCTTTCTTATTGCCATATCGGGAAGATGATTTTCGTTGCCAAGATGCTGCCGCTTGGCATTCTATAACATAACAGGGCCAGAGTCCCCTGCTTGATTTCTCCGGACTTTAATTTCAAAGGTCTCGACACACTCTGTCGATTTAGGAGGGTTGTCTTTCATGGTCTCAATGACAGTCTGACAGCACTTGACCCCAAAATGTTCCCTAAAAGGCAACAGACCGATGCCGAGGAAACAACGAGGAAGTCACAGCCACTATCAGTTCTTAGGTCATGGTCATGGCTTCCAAATTATTCAAAAGTACCCAGGAAAGAGGTGCAACAAATAACGACCGATCCCGATCCTGTTCGAAGGTGGATAAAAGGTGTTGTGATTTGTTCATGGATCATTGGTGGAGTCCTCGCCTTGAACATCATCCTCACCATCATCGCTGCTAGTCTAGCGTATTCAGGGAATAGCGGGCAGATTTTCTCCTTTGCTTCACTCTATATGGGGAAGTGTTCGACTTCCAAGAATTGGACAACGGGCTTGCACCTCCTGATCAACATCCTCAGTACTACCCTTCTAGGAGCGAGCAACTACTGCATGCAGTGCCTTGCAGCCCCTTCGCGAGAGCAGGTGGATAAAGCCCACAGTCAAAAGACATGGGTTCGAATCGGCGTCCCGAATATTATAGACCTTATTCGCTATCAAACAGGCAAGCGACGCTTTCTAGGATCGATCCTACTGATCACCTCATTGCCTATCCATTTAATGTTTGTGGTGTAACATTGGCTAGATACCAATGCATCCCGGCTGATATGAACTTCTGCTAGTTACAATTCAGCCGTCTACTTCTCCATTGGGCCAACAGAATATTCAGTCGTTGCAGCACATGAGGAGCTTATTCAGGAACATGGCAACTCCACGGAATTTGAGCAATGCTTCACAGCAAATGTCGGAATGGAATTGCCATCATTCAATACAGCGATCCATGACGGGAGTTTCAACACTCTCTCCAAGCAAGAATGTGTTGATATATTTGCTCAAGACTATACATCCGGGTATGGAACGGTTGTTCTGGTGACCAAAGACTCGATGCCTCAAAACGAGTCCGTGGCCTGGATAGGAACTGGAAATAGACAAAACTTTGAGGGTGGCAATTCTCAGTTCAGCTGGCTGTGTGACGAAGAATATCCCTGTACAAAAAGTATAGCCGAGGAAAACACCCAGAACTGGACCGTTCACGCAATAACGTGGTCGCGTCCCACCATTCACCTGTCAGTGCCTATCCCAGGCGGACTTTATGAGAGCGGAGGATGGTTGGATGTTGGACATTACGGCGTTCCCGAAACCGAGGATTACAACCATCTCGATGATATTCTCGATAAATACCCTACCTTGGAGGACTTGCAAGCTGAGCTAGACAATCCTTCCGGCTGGGTTAACAGTTCATTTCCAGGCAGCGTCACAGTACGCAAAGGTGAACCCGACTGCACATACCCAGGAGTCTACGGTAAACAGACTTCACGATCATATTCAATCAATCACTGCATGACGCTGCCGGTTAAGGAGACTTGTCAACTATTCTTCAGCCCACCGATCTGCCTGATTGTAATTGGCTGCAACATAGTCAAACTCATCTGCGCGCTGTTAGCGGCACGCGAGAACAGAAAAGATATTTTCCTCACCACTGGAGACGCGATTGCATCCTTCCTTGCCAAACCGGACCCAGCCACCGAGGGAGCATGTCTACTGTCCGGGTCTTTAATCAAGAAGAGCACACAAGGATGGCAGAAATACAAGGGCCGTGAACGCAAGTCTTTGGATCTTCTGGAAACCAAACAAGAGACTCCGCTTCGTTTACCTCCAAGGAAACGATGGTTTCAAGCTGCGAGCATATCACGCTGGGTGTATACGATCCTCCTGTATGATATTACCTCACTCGTGGCAATGACGGCCTCATCGAGCAGTTGACTGATTCCAATTAGATTTGTGTGCATGCTGATCCCATCCGTCATTGTTCTTCGCCTAGGAATTCTCAATTACAACAAAGCCTCCAAATCAAAGAACCTATGGGACTCTGGCCTGGGAGACGCAAGCACAGGGACTACCTTAGCCGGCCTTAGCATTCCCGCTACCGCAAGTGGGATATTTTCTATGATTTTCATGGCCAACATACCTCAGATACTAGTTTCACTAGCTTACTTCTTCTACAACGGCCTGCTGACCTGCATGCTCGGCGCCGTCGAGTACGACAACTACGCCACGGAGCAAAAGCCTCTCCGCGTATCCTGGCCCCGCGGCGGCCAGCGTTCAACATACTACCTCAGTCTTCCGTACCGATACAGTGTCCCGCTACTGGTCGTCTCCGCTGTTCTACACTGGCTCGTATCCCAGAGTTTTTTCTTCGTCCAGGTGATCCCATTCGATCGGCACGGAGTACCCCAAAAAAGCTACCCCGATGTACTCGTTACTTGTGGCTACTCGCCTGTTGCCATCATTTTCGGAATCATTGTTGGTGGCTTCCTACCCATCGTCGCTGTACTTCTAGGCTTGCGTCGTTTCAGATCACATATGCCGCTAGCTGGTCAGTGTAGTGCGGCAATCAGCGCTGCGTGTCATCCCATGACTACGGCAGTCGATCATGCATTGAAACCGGTGCAATGGGGCGAAGTTCCAGATAGAGTCTTGTCACATGGCATTTTTTCAAACACAATAACGACAGATGTTGAATGTGACGCTCGACACAGTGTTGGAAATGATGAGCAACGGCTATCTTTGGCTACGGAGCTGGATCTCAATGATTCTCGGGCAGTTGGTTTCTTGCATTGCTCATTTACCTCGGAGGATGTTAGTGAGCCGAGCACATCACGTCTCTATCTTTAGTCAGGGGAGGGTGAGTGATAGGAAATCTGTAATCTTACACATATACGACGATATGAGTTTTTGGATAATACAATAGTTAGATACTTTATTAATATATGCAAATACTAAGATAATATGTTGTATGTTGTATGTTGCCCAAGTGTATGAGTTGGACACTAAACTCCGCTGTAGGTGGGTCTCGGGAAACGGGCACTGTTCTGCTCGTCAAGGCATCAAGTTAAATCCTTTGTCTATACTTCTAACTCTGCCTCTCCTGTTTGCTCAAACTCTAGCTTCCCTTTTTCTCTGCATTCTGTGCATATCGATCTATTGCTCCTCTCGCAGGTGGTGTCTTCCAAGCATTAACCTAGCAACTTCCCCTCCACGTCAGCACTGGATGAAAACTCCATAATGGCTGACAACAACACCGCCTCATGCCCTTTTTGTCCCTTCACGGACTCCGATGCTAATTTTGTGTCCCAACACATCGAATTCTGCCACCCAGACACCGGGGCAACGGGTTTCCTGCAAGAAAACCCGCAAGAATTTGCTGCCCAAAACTCGGCTCCACTACCAGTGGACGAGGATGGCACAGACAAATATGTCGACTGTCCACATGGATGCGGTGAGACAATAGAAAGTGCCGAGCTCTCGAGCCACCTGGATCTCCATGTTGCAGAGGACATGGCGCTGGATGATATCGGTGTCACATCAGCACGCTCAACTCCAGACGTACATGACCACGTGTATGATGAGCCCTTTGATGATGAAGATTCCCTCGACATGCTCGACTCTCACAAAGGAGGCAAGCGTGGTATGCAGCGCGACTCCTCGCGAGTAAATACTGCCAAGCCACCACGGCCTCACAGCCCCCCAAGGACGACCAATGCCGATGGCACGAAGAGATTAGGGGTATGTGTCCCATATCTGCATCTCTAGGGATAAGTACTAACAATATCGAAGCGCTCGGAATTGGGCCCCCATGCCCATGAGAAGAAAATGCCTTCATGGCTAAAGAAAATGCTAGAAAAGGGCGGCAGCATATCAAAGCAAACCCAAATCACATCGGACGGCAAATTCACACGACGCGACACAGTAGAAAATGAGACCGACCATTTGATTCCAGTTCTTGCTCGGTTATGTGAACAGGACAAATCCGTCCAACGGGCATTCTTCTGTAGCCCCAAAGTCCGCCATATCTGCAAGATGCGTCGGGAAGGCGGATTTTGTGGCTATCGCAATATCCAAATGATGGTTTCTTGGCTGAAAAAGTCTCGTGGCTTTGGCCATGAGCACTTCCCAAATAAGGGGCCCACGATCCTTGAACTGCAGGATATGATTGAATCGGCCTGGGATATGGGATTCAATAGTTCTGGAAGAGCTGAGACAGGCGGTATCAAAGACACGCGCAAGTTTATTGGAACGCCTGAAGTAAGCATTTCGGTCTACATCGATTATATCCTATATGCTAACGACTAGCCAGGCACAAGCACTTTTCATGAGCCTAGGAATCCCGTGAGTTGTCTAGCCTGCTTCACTTCGACCCCGCTGACCCCGATATTCAGATGTGAAGCCAGGAGTCTGTCAGAGAGGAGCGATTTACGGGCCTGTGATGCCCTTTACATTGATGTCGCCGACTATTTCCGGTCAGCATGTTCACCAGAAGACGAGACAAAGATCGTTCAGACCGACCTCCCTCCGATATACTTCCAGCATCAAGGTAAAGCCTCTTAGGTCTTTTCACGTGTATACATATCTCTCTAACTTGAACCAGGTCATTCTATGACAATTATCGGATTTGAAATACGAGACAACGGCAGCGCAAATCTGCTGGTATTCGATCCCATGTTCAAGACTTCCCCTGCAATGGAGCGTCTGATCGGGGCATTTGTCAAGCCCTCGGATCCCACTCGTCTTCTCAAAGCATATCGCAGGGGAACGCCTTATCTGCAAAAGTACAAGATATTCGAGCTTCTCAAGTGAGTGATTGTTCAAATTTTAGATATTCTAATGCTGATCAGTACTAGGTTATGTATAACCAGCCCGAAACATGAAGCTACATAGAACCGAGCCCATTCAATTAACATTGTGTATCCTTTGCATCATGATTAATTGAAAAATAAAATCAAAGCCAAGTTGAAGTTACTATAAATGTTTTTTATACATTCCAAATGCGGTAACTTACCCCTCCACGATAAGATAGCCGGGACGAAAATTAGTCCGATGGAATTATTTCATCTGGGGAAACCATTTTCAACAATCTACAATCTACAATTCCACTTTAAGATCTCTATCCTATAAGAAAATATGCGCACCTCTCCAAATGTGATCATTACCGGCACCCCCGGCGTGGGGAAGACCGTCCACTGCGAACAACTCGCGCAAGAGATCGGCCTGAAGCACCTGTCCATTAACCAGGTCGCAAAGGACCGTGGATGCTTCGATGAATATGACGAGGAATTGAAGACATGGGTGGTCGATGAGGATAAGGTGAGAATGCTTCCCACAATGGTCTTCTCTTCACTTGGAACGCTACTCTTTTCACCATGGTTCAAGACTCGAAAATCCACATGCTAATCCATGCGCGGCACAGCTCCTCGATGCCCTCGAAGACGAAATCCCCAACGGTGGCTACTTAATCGACTGGCACGCCTGCGACCTCTTCCCCAAGTCCTGGATCGATCTCGTCGTTGTCCTCCGTTGCCCCACTACAGATGTTCTATATGACCGACTTTCCTCTCGGTATGACAATCGACCACGCAAACCTATCTACGCTGTCAAACTAACATATTTATTCCAAGGGGTTACCACGAGAAAAAGCTAGAAGAGAACGTCGACGCGGAAATCTTCGGCGTCCTATCAGACGAAGCGCGGGAGGCATTCGACGAAGAGATCGTGGTAGAATTGAACAGCGAGCAGGATGCAGATGTGGACTCGAACTGCCAGCGGATCGCGCAATGGGTCGATTCGTGGAAGCAATCCCACGCTGAGAATGCGGATTGAGGGAATTTGCTGGGCCATATAAAATTTTTGATCTTCGTTTCTCATTCTTCTATGGTCTTTTGCGGGCCGAGTTATATACCCATGGCGATTTACTGTTGGCCTTCGGCTAGCCACTGCTGCAACTTCACCAGCGCCTTGTACCGGTGCGAAATCTTGTTCTGTTCGCGGGGCTCTTAGTACATGGCTTTTTTCGGGGGAGACAAGATCGTTCTTACCTTTTCCTCCTTGTCCATCTCGGCATATGTCTCTTTACCATCATATTCGAAGATAGCGTCCCAGCCTGTCATATATCAGATCTTGATTCTCTGCGAAACTTAGTTGGATGTCCACTTACCGAACTTTCCTGAGCCTCTGGGCCGCACAATAGCACCCTGTACATCACAGTTAGATTTAGGTAGATTTGAAATGACTTTATTTGCCTCACCTCAGTCCTTCCCTGGAAAATAATGGGCTCTTCACCAGGGCCCCGGCAGAAGGCAAAGGTGCACACAGCTTCGGCAGTTCTGTCCTCGAAGCCATCGAGCATCTTGTTCAAGCCCTCGTGGCCCAGATTCTCCATGAAGGATTTGCTTGACAATAATCAGTACTGATATCACAAAATAAGCTATTAATATAGCAAAAACATACATGTATGGCCCAGGAAGACCCTTGAGCGCATGGAACTCAAGCGCAGTGTCTTCGGTCAAGGCAGGTCCATTGATCTATTCCCTCGTAAGCAGATATAATTTTAACAAAATAGCCTGGGAATAAATTACCGCTTCGGCGGCACGTCTGGCCTTCTCTTTGGCGATTTCTTCGATTGTGCCTTGGATCTCGGGAACATCGACTTCCTGGTTGTCCACTTCGATGACCTTACCGAGGATAGCCCGCACCTCAAGGAGCTTGTTTTTGTTGCCGGTGATGAAGTTGAGCTTGGTGAGAGTCATTTTGGCTGTGTAGGCAGGTATTGGTTGATATGGGTCAGTATGGGTTGGATGTGAAGTTGAAGATTAAGAGTGTGGGAACCCCACTGCGCTACCGCTGACCGCATATATCGACCTCAAGGGCTAGATATTCATGCAAACCATATAGAAACCATTCTCACACACCCCAGACATACTAACATGTTGTATTTATGTATTGGAAATGACTATCTTCGTTTCGTACTTTCTCCACTTTGGAGTCGCTACAACATGTACATCGTGCCGCCCAAACGACAGATCCGCAGATGGGTGTGCATCTATCAAAACCCAACAAATCGAGAGGAAAAAGGAGAAAAAGTGACACGTCTATCCCTGTCAGGGGCTCTGAAATCAGGTAGTGCCCCTGAAATGGCCAGGCTGTATTTGGTATATTTCCACACAAACGAATCCTGGACATAGAAAATACTCTACTCCCTACTGGACATTTGCTTACACGGCAAACATGCAAATAACCCCTGACGACCTACTCTGGGAGCAAGCCGAAGACATATCTCATGAGTGGCTTAAACAATTTCTTGGCCATGACATCTGGATATCGATCGCAGGTTTCATGCTCGCTCATAACAGAGGCGTTGGTAACGAGATTGATATACTCAAGAAGGGATCTTACAACATTTCCCTGTGGCTGAAGTACGAAAATGAAGCTACCGTGATCCGGTTGTCACAGCCTGGTGCCGTTATGTTTCCCGAAGAGAAAGTCGTGAATGAAGTTGCTGTCATGCGATTTCTCACGGATCAGACATTGATAAACATTCCTTTCATTCTTCACTCGGGTACAAAGAAAGAGAGCCCTCTCGAACTCGGTTCATTCATCATGATGGAATATATCGAGCATAAAACCAAGATTTACGCTGCTCTCAACACACCAGGATGTCCGGCAGAGGAGCGTGGAGTTCTGGATCCGGACATCGATGAGGCCAGGCTTGAACTGCTATATGGTCAGCTAGCGGGTATCCTGCTTCAGCTCTCTGCGACTTCTTTCCCTCGTATCGGGTCTCTCGGTCAAATCGACGAGTTCACCTGGGACGTCACACGCCGGCCTTTGACAATAAACATGAACGAGCTTGTCCGAATTGGAGGCTTACCACAGTCTAAGCTTCCCTATCTAAATGCTACATTTGACACATCTTCATCATACATGGAAGCCCTTGCAGACATCAACATTGAACATTTGGTTCATCAAAGAAACGATTCCGTGGACTCCGCAGACGACTGTCGACGAAAGTTCGTTGCACGACAGCTGTTCCGCAAGCTAGCCAGGGAAAAGAAACTCACGAATCCATTACTTGAAAAAGGGCCTTTCAAAATTTGGTGTGATGATCTACGGCCGGCTAATGTGCTACTCAATGAGAACCCTACACAAATTGCCGGGGTGGTAGATTGGGAGTTCACATATGCAGCCCCCGTTGAATTTTCCTATGCGCCACCTTGGTGGTTGCTTATCGAGAAGCCTGAGTTTTGGCCAGGAGGGATTGAGGACTGGACAAGAGTGTTTGAACATCGTCTAAAGACATCTTTTCTCAAGGCAATGAAGGATTGTGAAGATACAGCAATCCAACAAGGTCGGTTAAGAGAAGACCAGCGACTTTCCGGTCCTATGTATGATAGCTGGAGAGTGGTGATTTCTGGATTATGTATGCAGCGATGCATAGCTTTGCCTTTGATGAAAATTACTGGCAGAAGATTGACCCGCGGTTTTTTGGACCTACTAAAGACATCGAGGGAGCATGGAAACAGAGATTGGGTCTATTGGATGAGCAGGAAAAGGAGGAGATGGAGCTACTAGTGGCTCGGAAGTTGATGGAGATGGAGACAAGGACTCTATCGTGGGATCCAGATGAGTACACTCTGGCATTTCGCGAGCAATTGAAGAGTCAAGAAAAAGCGAAAGTCGAGAACAACCTAGAAGAGAGCATGGATAGTGAGCCTTCCCACGATGGGACCAAGTGAATGAACGCTTTGAACACTGAATTGTTCGTTTATGTTAGGAGAGAGAAAATCATTTACAGGAATTCTTTTGGCAATCTCTGGTCTATAAGCCAAGACGTCATATGCAATTGAGACAAATGAAAATCATGCGCATCACTGTATCGCAAAGGCCGTGGATAATCCAGGCAAGTCGTAATCCGTAGCTCACAGGAAATCCCAAAGTCTAATATACAACAGTACAGATCTAATCCTCAAGCATCCCGTGATCCCATTCGAGCTTCTCTTGCTGTGCCATCGCTTGCGCGGACACAATCTCAGCAAGTCGTTTCAACCGCGGTGTTTGGAGCCAGGATGGGGTATAGGTCTCCAGAGCAGTGATAACACGCGGCTCGGCGATCTCGTACGGGCCACTGTCCTCCATGTCTACCGGAGCCAGGAGGAGCACATCGCTCTTCTCTGTGACACGAGAAGCGACGGCCTTCATGATCTCGCCGTTGATGGGCTGTTCGTAATCTGCCACCAGATACTGGTTCAGCAGTTTTTGAATTTGGTTCGGAGACAACCTGCACACAATTAGTTACTTGAACTCGTGGGAGAAGACACTTCTCGGGTTCACTTACATCCAGCAAATATCCTGGATAATCTCAATATCATTCAAAGTAGCCTTCTTGAGCTGCAGAAGTTTTGTCGCTTGCTGTGTAGGTGTTAGTATACTGGCCAAATGGACATCAAACGAGGAACCTTACCATCAAATGCTCTAGCTTCAACGTTCCCTCTGGCATATCATGACTCTTACACCACTCCTCAATACGGGTGATATTGTAGTTGATTTGCAGACCACGCTTCCACGACAGGAAGTTACGTCGCATGAGGAGGTCGTTGAAAGCAGTGACACCCACTAGGCGCAAGAGCTCCGTGACAGTCTGGAGGATGATAGCGTCTTCAAGGTAGAAGGCCTTCATTGCCTTGTAAACACCGTTCAATAGACTGAGGAGATTGTCCATGCTGTAAGCTGGGTTATTGTTGGAGGGCAGAAGTTTTCCAAGGAAGCGATTTGTTTCACTAGTGACAAAGCCGGGAAGTGATTGAGACTCGATGATGGCTGGAACAATCATCTTGTACAACTTCTTCTTCAAGACCTTCATCCAAGTGTGATAGATGTTAAATTCCAAGCTCTCGAGGTCGTGCTTGACAATTTCCAACAGGCGATCATACTCATAGTTCTCGGTCTTTTGTGCTTCATACCAATCCTCGGCCAGGAAGACAAAGGATAGCATCTCGTGCACGTTAGATAACCAGAAGGCACCGGGGTTGATCGCGTCGTCTCCATCATGCTGCATAACCTCTTGCTGAATGGACTGCATAACGTTGGCCAAGAATCGCTCCGACTCCTTAACAAATCCGTTGTTCCACATCTCCGATGTAACAAGGTTGATCAAGTATGCTGGGAATAGGACCTCTTTTTCAGTCGGTGGCGGTGTCGAAGTTGGAAGCGGAATCTTCAAGTTGCGGATAAGACCCATGGCAACCTCCTCGTTCAAGTCCTCCTCTTCGGAAAGCAAGTTCTCGAGCTCCATCTCTACCGACTCTAGACCAGGAGAGATGGCCGCATTTTGACGGGCAGCCATAGATGCAGGGGTGATAGCCATCGAAACCGGCCGAGGGTTGTATGCACCACTGAAGCGATCCGTCTCAATCCTTTCAGCGCCGGCACTGCGTCTCTTAGGCTTAGGTTTCTTTGACGATACCAAGTTGATCAATCCCGGAATAGGGGTCTGGACTGCGCCACCATTGGGTAGACCATCGCCGTTCACACCGTTCAAAGGCACAGATCTCTTGGCAACCTCGAGTTGTTCCTCAAGATCGGAAATTCGCTGCCGGAGACCAGTCTTATCTTTCTCATTCTCGGTATCCAAGAGCTTAAGACGCCCCAACTCGTCGTCCGCGGTTTGAAGAGCGTCACGGGAGAGTCTCTCCTCTTCTTGGAGGCGCTTGATGGTAGCCTGAGCTTCAGTGTGGCTCTGCTGAAGCTTACTCATCTCCTCTTCAATCGCCTCTAACCGGGCAGCGGTGATACCAGCCTGGTTTGCTTCGACCTGAAGTTCCTTGGTGCGAGCCTCCAAGGCATTGTGCCGGGTTCTCCATGACTTCAATTGAGCATCGTAGTTTTCCAGCTGTGAGACCAAGGTTTTATTTTCAAGCTTGAGAGATTGCAAGTACTGGGTCAACTCAACAACCTTGTTCTCCAACTTATAGGAAATTTGCTTGAGATCACGGGCATCCTCGCGAAGTCTCTTATAAGCATTTCTTGCCTCTTTACCTCGCCAGAGGTTTTGGATGGTGATGACCTGGCGGCGATACTGTCTCCAGGCCCGGAGTTGACGCCAGGAGCGGAAAGCACGTTGAATGACCTTGGCCGCATTTCCATTGATAGAGTCCATGATGTTGCGTCGGCACAGGAATCCCTTGGCAACAGACTCGAACAGGATGAAGTTTTTGCGGATTTGAGTGTAACGCTTCTTCTCCTTCTGGCCACGCCAGACCCGCTGGATCGTAGTAGCAGCCTTGGTCCGGCGAATCTCATGGGCATGCTGCCGTGCCAGGAAGCCCCGAATGAAGGCCTGAGTGGTTAGAATTGAGTCACGAGCATCGAGATAACGGCGGCGGTAATACTTGGCACGCAAGTTCTTCTGAATCATGATGGCGCACTCATTCAACCTGGAGGTGCGGAGGTTCTCCAGGAATGCAAGCATACCAGCTCGGAAGAAGATTTTAGTAAGACCAAGCTGATACTTATCTTGCTTTTCATCTCCCAGGGCCTTTCGGAGGATTGCATGGCACATATCCCGAATCTCCGAGGTCCATTGCGAGGAATGGCACAACATGTAGTAACGGACGGCAAATTCCTCATAAGTCCATCGGGTTGGGTAGCCAGCGGTACTGATTCGGACAGTTTCTAGGACACCACAAGCTCTCAGCTGACTGAGGACCATGGGGCCTTCGAATTTCCAAGCTTCCTTTGCCTCATTGGGCTTGATGCAACGGATGTAATGAACTTCCGTGCTATTGATGGTGTGCATCAATTCAATCAGCGAAGACTTGAAGATTCCTCCAAGCGTGGGTTTCCGGTTGACTGCAACGCCAATCCGACGCCCTGGAGCCGCTGCAACTGGCTTAGACGACATAGCAGCAGAGTCCTTCTCACGGACGGCCGCAGCAGTGTCTAGGATCTCCTTGATGAAAGAATTGGATGAATTTCGCAACACTTCCAAATGCTCATCGGGCACAGTGTCACGGTTCTTTTCAATAAATCCATCAGATTCATAAGTGACGTCAACTGCATAGTGACAGACGGTGAATGCAGATTTCCCGAAGCGGGGTTTCTTGTAGAACTTCTGCTTGTCAGCCGCAAAGTGATGGTGAAGCTTAGTGACAAACTGCTCATCTGAACCCATAGGAAGTCGAGATTCTTCATCCAAAAGAGCCAGGACGCCGAGCTTCGCTTCGATAAGATCGATACAAGGTTGGTTATCCGAAAAGTCGATGAATGTCCAGTCAATCTCTTCTCGGACATATTCTTCCTGCTCAAGCTTGAACACATGCTGGTTGAATTCTTGTTGCAACTTCTCGTTGGCATAATTGATGCAGAATTGTTCGAAAGAGTTCTTGGCAAAATGTTCAAACCCGTAGATATCAAGAACACCAATGAAGCATTTGAACTGTTCAAGCACTTCATCGGTAGCGAGGCGGCGATTGATCTTGTCCACTAGCCAATCAAATAGGCTTGAATAGATAAACTTGGCCACGGAGTCTCGGACAACCAAAGCCTGTTGCTGTGTCAGGTTGGAGGTGATTTTCTCGCCACGCGTGATGAGTTGCTTCTTCACGATCCATTTCGCAAACTCAGTAGCATCAATTCCAAGCATCTCACACGCGCGGAGAAGTGCAGGCTCGGTCGACGAGACTGACGAATCCGTGCGAGTAGCTGTGATCTTGACATTACCGAGGTGTAGCAAAGCGGCGAGAACGCGGAAGATTCCTGTCTGGTCTTCCTGCGGCACACCAATCACAGCCAGCGACTTCCTGGTCGCCTCGAATTCAGCCTTGTCGTCGACACCGTCGATCACTGGAGTGCCACCCTGGTTCAGATACTCAAAGTCTTCAGCAGCCAAGAGACCCAGCTCCTGTTTCTCTGCGTCGGAAGCACCAGCTACCAGTTGGTAGAAGATGTGGTAATTGCGCTCTTTGAGAGGCTGGAAGACGAGTCTCGACCGTTCAAGAAGATACGTCCTGATCTTAGCTCCGATAATATTCGTTCGGTCATCGAACATGATTTCGATATATTTGCCGAAACGGGAGGAGTTGTCGTTACGAGTGGTTTTCGCGTTACCGAATGCTTCCATGACCGGGTTGGTAGCTAGAATCTGCTCCTCGGTTTCACTGATTGCCTCTGCGCGGCTGGTGGTGTATTTCCCAGGCTGATCGGAAGACTCGCGAGTCGCAAAGTAGCGCATGATATATTTGGCACTCACGGTCTTACCGGCTCCAGATTCACCAGAGACCACAATCGTCTGATTCTTTCCATCGCGAAGCATGTCACTGTATCAAAGGTGTGAGCGAAACGAACCCCAAAGAGGCAAAATGTGGACGATTCTTACGCGAAAGCTTCCTCCGCAATTGCAAACAGGTGAGGCGCCTGCGAGGCACGTTGTTTCCCAGCATAAACCTGCACCATCTGCGGCACGTACAGCGAATCGACTCGGGCGAATGGGTTGGTTGCGATCAAGACGATACCACTGTAGGTATATATCTCCTTCTGGGCGTAGCGGAGTTTTATAGCCTGGAGGACTTCACAGGGTCGTCAGCTGGGAGGACAGCACTAAACAAGGAAGAGCAAGACAAACCAGCGGGCTCGTTCAAGTGAGACAAATTCGTCAAATCTTCGCTTGCTTCAAGCATAGCAGGATTCATGAGCGGAGGTAGTTTGGGGTTGTTATCGACCTGCAGCTCGGACTGCGTGG